AAGTTCCAATGTGAAAACCTTTCCGACACTCCGTGTGTGTCTCTCCGTTGCAAAGCTCATGGAGAAGTATCAATCAGGTTTAAGGTGTTACACAGTTTTGCTTTCAGTTCTACAAACATACGCTAGGGGGTGCTAAAAGCAAGCCAAATTTGCCTAGTTCTCTTTTAAATTAGACAATATCATCTGAACATCTGCACAGAGGAACATCTGCACAGAAGAACATCTGCACAGAAGAAAATCTGCACAGAGGACCATCTGCACAGAGGAACATCTGCACAGAGGACCATCTGCATAGAGGACCATCTGCATAGAGGAACATCTGCACAGAAGAACATCTGCACAGAGGAACATCTGCACAGAAGAACATCTGCACAGAACATCTGCACAGAAGAACATCTGCACAGAAGAACATCTGCACAGAGGACCATCTGCATAGAGGACCATCTGCATAGAGGAACATCTGCATAGAGGAACATCTGCACAGAAGAACATCTGCACAGAAGAACATCTGCACAGAGGAACATCTGCACAGAGGAACATCTGCACAGAGGAACATCTGCACAGAGGACCATCTGCATAGAGGACCATCTGCATAGAGGACCATCTGCATAGAGGAACATCTGCACAGAAGAACATCTGCACAGAAGAACATCTGCACAGAAGAACATCTGCACAGAAGAACATCTGCACAGAAGAACATCTGCACAGAGGACCATCTGCATAGAGGACCATCTGCATAGAGGAACATCTGCACAGAAGAACATCTGCACAGAGGAACATCTGCACAGAGGACCACCTGCATAGGGGACCACCTGCACAGAGGAACATCTGCATAGAGGAACATCTGAACAGAGGAACATCTGCATAGAGGAACATCTGCACAGAAGAACATCTGCACAGAGGAACATCTGCACAGAGGACCATCTGCATAGAGGAACATCTGCACAGAAGAACATCTGCACAGAGGAACATCTGCACAGAAGAACATCTGCACAGAGGACCACCTGCATAGGGGACCACCTGCACAGAGGAACATCTGAACAGAGGAACATCTGCATAGAGGAACATCTGCACAGAAGAACATCTGCACAGAGGACCATCTGCATAGAGGACCATCTGCACAGAGGACCATCTGCATAGAGGAACATCTGAACAGAGGAACATCTGCATAGAGGAACATCTGCACAGAAGAACATCTGCACAGAGGAACATCTGCACAGAGGACCATCTGCATAGAGGAACATCTGCACAGAGGAACATCTGCACAGAGGACAAAGTGCTTGTATCTTCTTCAGAAATCAATTTCAGACCCAGGAGGTAAAACTACATCTCCTTTCAAAGCTAACCGATCCATCACATGCTCTAAATACGACTCGGGACATCTACGGGGGCTACAGCTAGCATTTTGTTAGCCTGTCAACAATCTCTTCAAGCAGTGGACTGAAACTTTACAGAATTCTGAAGGGAGCACGTCCATTTCAACACAATCGGAGGCGTCTGTGGCTGCAGGCCATCAAAAGGGTTGATGAAAACTGGACTGAAAACACGATCCGAAATGCTCGAGTTTGTAGCGCCCATCTTATATCAGGTAAGGTAATGATGTACTACGATTACACCAGAAAGCTGGTTAACGTGTGTTCTATTAAATAGAGTAAGTTGCGTTTGCTGGTTTGCTTTTAAGCGGTCTGTTTATTTACAGGCGAGGTGTCACTGGACTCCTCGAGTCCTGATTTTGTGCCTTCTGTGTGTACGTACACAAAGCGAAGTCCAAACCTAAAGATGGACAGGTAATGTTTACACCTTCCCATCACAGATATATTTAATATTTAGAAATTCTTGCTATTCATGATGTTCAGTGTTATTACATCTTGGCTCTTGACTCGTGTAACTGTTAAGTAATGTAGACCGGTTACATTAAGGTATCAACGGAAAAGGAGAAGGGATGAAACGTCTTGCATGCCCTCAGATCAGCTGGATGCTTCAGAGAATACAGATCAGCAACCATCACTGGCTCACCATGCCGGTAAGGATTTTGTATTTTCTGTTACAATCAAAATATTTGTGTGGACTTGTTGCTGCATTTGCTAACTTTTCATATTTCTGTGTTAAAGCTGAAGAGGACCTCCCTGTTCCAAGGAGGGAATAAGATGGCCTACAACAAAGACATGCTGGGCTTCATAAAAACCATGTCAACCTGCAGCTGGAGTTTGAAAAACTTGAGGCAGAACATTGTGAGCTGTTGCCTTTCGTTAAAGTGACTTTAATAATATAACATTCAAGATTAGCCGGTGATAACCCTGCAGCGTAGCTTGATAAAGCCTGAAACAACGCCATTCTCTGTTGCCAAGCTGTGTGCATTCTCGCTGACGTCATATCGTTTACAAACAGTAAAAGGGTCTATAGACATTTGATTACGCACAAGTAGGTGACCAGCTCAGGTTTACGCAGAGCAGAAGGAAGGAGAGAGCTCTGGTTAAACGTTCCTGCGTTAAGAAAACTGTTAGATAGCATTGTTTATGTGCTACCTGGGCACTCGAAATATTTATTTAAAATTAAATCAAAGGAAATTGTAATGGTATCGAATGTTTATTAATTACTATTTAAAAAATGAAAGTGATGGTGAAAAAGGTCGATCCTATTTTTTTAACCCTGTCTGTTTAGCTTGACGTCTGAGATATATATATATATATATATATATATATATATATATATATATATATATATATACATATCGCTGCTCGGGCCTAATAACTGTTTAAAGTAAATTTCCTCGCCTGTTATTCCTTTCTACCTATGACCATTAGAAAAGCCATTGTACTTGTGTTCAAGGTGTCGTTGACTGAAAAACCATTTGTAAAATGTTCTTTCTGATCCTAAAGGGTCACTCTGAGTTGTTCATGCAGCTGAGCATGAAAATAGTCTCCTACACCTATCTCCTGCATTAGCTACTGATAGATAATAGTCTCCTACACCTATCTCCTGCATTAGCTACTGATAGATAATGGTCTCCTACACCCATCTCCTGCATTAGCTACTGATAGATAATAGTCTCCTACGCCTATCTCCTGCATTAGCTACTGATAGATAATAGTCTCCTACACCTATCTCCTGCATTAGCTACTGATAGATAATGGTCTCCTACACCCATCTCCTGCATTAGCTACTGATAGATAATGGTCTCCTACACCCATCTCCTGCATTAGCTACTGATAGATAATGGTCTCCTACACCCATCTCCTGCATTAGCTACTGATAGATAATAGTCTCCTACGCCTATCTCCTGCATTAGCTACTGATAGATAATAGTCTCCTACACCTATCTCCTGCATTAGCTACTGATAGATAATAGTCTCCTACACCTATCTCCTGCATTAGCTACTGATAGATAATAGTCTCCTACACCTATCTCCTGCATTAGCTACTGATAGATAATAGTCTCCTACACCTATCTCCTGCATTAGCTACTGATAGATAATAGTCTCCTACGCCTATCTCCTGCAGTAGCTACTGATAGATAATAGTCTCCTACGCCTATCTCCTGCAGTAGCTACTGATAGATAATAGTCTCCTACGCCTATCTCCTGCAGTAGCTACTGATAGATAATAGTCTCCTACGCCTATCTCCTGCAGTAGCTACTGATAGATAATAGTCTCCTACGCCTATCTCCTGCAGTAGCTACTGATAGATAATAGTCTCCTACGCCTATCTCCTGCAGTAGCTACTGATAGATAATAGTCTCCTACGCCTATCTCCTGCAGTAGCTACTGATAGATAATAGTCTCCTACGCCTATCTCCTGCAGTAGCTACTGATAGATAATAGTCTCCTACGCCTATCTCCTGCATTAGCTACTGATAGATAATAGTCTCCTACGCCTATCTCCTGCATTAGCTACTGATAGATAATAGTCTCCTACGCCTATCTCCTGCATTAGCTACTGATAGATAATAGTCTCCTACGCCTATCTCCTGCATTAGCTACTGATAGATAATAGTCTCCTACGCCTATCTCCTGCATTAGCTACTGATAGATAATAGTCTCCTACGCCTATCTCCTGCATTAGCTACTGATAGATAATAGTCTCCTACGCCTATCTCCTGCATTAGCTACTGATAGATAATAGTCTCCTACGCCTATCTCCTGCATTAGCTACTGATAGATAATAGTCTCCTACACCTATCTCCTGCAGTAGCTCCTGATAGATAATAGTCTCCTACACCTGTCTCCTGCTTTAGCTCCTGATAGATAATAGTCTCCTACACCTATCTCCTGCAGTAGCTCCTGATAGATAATAGTCTCCTACACCTATCTCCTGCAGTAGCTTCTGATAGATAATAGTCTCCTACACCTATCTCCTGCAGTATCTTCTGATAGATAATAGTCTCCTACACCTATCTCCTGCATTAGATTCTGATAGAAGATGGTGAACATTTAGGATTTGAAAATCCTCACAGATCTACATCACCTTGTGAGTAAGCATTTATGGACTCATCCAGCTTGACTCACGATGGGGATGGCTGTTGTTTTGAATTCCAGAAATCAGCAGGGGGGGTCTTGGCTAGTTTAAGCTAATCATTAGCATTAGCAACACCACCACACAGCAGAAGCTTCTCCAGGCTTGAGTTACTTGTGGAGATAAAACATCAACGTTACAAGTCAGTGGTAGAGTCGCGTCGCTGTTATCCAATCTGGAGCGAGATGTCCCAACATCAGGAGACGAGACTCAAAATCCAGCCGTCTGAAGCTCACCTGTGATGTCAAAGACTGGTACCTGCTAAGCCAGTAGGCTTATTTGTGCCCTGAGTCCTGTCTGCAGGCATTCCTTCCTACTAGAGGCCACTGCAAATGTGTTGACTAAATGAGTAATCTACACCTTTAAAGTAAAACATTTAAAATATCATATTTTCTACTATGCCTGGTTTCAAAGCCAAAACTGTTGCTGATTAAGTGTAAGGAGTTAAAATATTACACATTTCCTGTAAAATAAAACAGACACTTACCGCTGGCAACAACTCGAAGCTTCTTAAGCAGTTTGACGTGAGAGTCTGGCTTAATGATGGTGGTGACATAAGGCTCGCACCCTGCAGCATCTATTAAAGTGTAGTAGTACAGCAGGCGGCCCAGATCGGTTCCTTCAATCGTTGGGAGAACGTATTTGGTCATGTGGCTGTAGAAGGCCTCCGGCTCGCTTCTTAGTGTCTCGAACAGTTTGAGGGAGTTGCTCCGCGCTTCAATGTCTTTGGTGGAAAGACTGAAAAGGAAGGAAAATGAAGTGAATGAGCAGATAATAAAACTACAACACAAAATACGATTACCTATCCTAGTGAAAGTTCTGAGCTCGCTGTCAAAAAATCTGCTCAGTGAAAAAAAGGGAATTTGTAGCATCAACCAAAAGTTTGTTTCTGACTAAATAAACTAAGTAGGCAATGGATTGTGTCGACGAGCAACAAAGTCTGAGAATTAAACAGTCAAATAATTACAGGTTTTACCAACAGAAAATCAAAAGGAGATGGCCACCGAGGTTTGTTTCGCTCCAGAGTCGATCAGAGTGGAGCTAAAGCAGCACGGACATGTGGGATCATCAGCAAAGACACAGCGCCTCGAACGCAAACCTAGGTGACGATTTCATGATCCTTTCTGAGAAGATGTCCAGTAATATGATTGAGTGTGAAAAGAAAAGGTGCCGGTGTTAAAAAATACAACTGAAAGTCATCCACAACAAGAACGAGAACTGAAACTACAGAAATGAGGAGATCAAAATCCTCCAGAGAACCACGACTAAAGTCAAACAAGCAGACACACACAGATTAGAAAGGCAGAGGTGATGCTGGGAGCCTCCGAGGGACTCGGCGCAATCTGTGGATGTTGGAGAGGAATTCTGTTTATCTGTCAGGACAAGAGGGCATCACAGAGCCTCCCCCGGGCTCCCCGCCGTAGCTCGCTGGGAGAGTTTTGCTAATGAAATAATTAAATAGGGAGCATCAGCTGACAATCAGCTCAATAATGTAAATAACACCAATCATCTTCACCGCAGGAGCTCTAATAAGCCTGGAATCAAGTGAGCGAGCAACTAATAGAAAGTGAGGATTGTCGGTTTTCATCTAGTCTCTCTCTCTCTGACACACACACTCAAGTCCTTCCTCCATGAAGCCAAATTTTCCTTATTTTTGCTAAACTTTGGGGATATTTCATCTCCTCCCCTTCCTCCGTGGCTTTCACCGTCTCCTTGGCGAGCATATTTCTCCCTGATAGCTTTATTACTAGTCTACTGCACATTGGCTCGGCCAGCGCCGCTCCCCCGGCAGCGGCTCTCGAAGGACACAATCAAAATTTCCCTCTCCATCTTTGTTGTGCTCATGCGGCTGTAATATCAGATGCTTGTTATTACAATCTTCTCGTGTTTGTCTCAATAGCCAGTCAGAACAAGGAGCCAATTTAATCTGATTTGATCTGTGCGCCGCCGCCGCCACCGCCGCCACCGCCGCCGCTGCCGCTCTCCTCATCTCTCTTACCTCCCTCCCTCCCAGTCCTTCATTAGCATATGTGGTTGAAACGTGATGCATGAGATAACAAACAGGAATAGCTTGCTAATATTCTTACATTTGGAGGCGTTTTCATTTGGAGAGGCAATCAGACAGCAAGGATTAAACTGCAGAAAAGCGTTGACAGAGCAGCGATAACTGTGCAGCATATCGTTTCCATTAGGACGTATGTGGCGTGCCTTTTGTTGCCATCAGTGCTTGAAAAATGATAAAAATAATTCTGTCAAGTGAACGAATGAAACATTTTTGTGGAGTGGATGTGAACATGGGCCAAATATATGTAAAAATGTATGTTTTAGGTCAATTCATTATTATAACTTTTACATATGATTACTGAAGCTAACTGCTATTTTTCTAAAGATATATCTAGATGCTATATATCATCACAGGGAAGAAGGGAAGCTATTCAAAGTTTAAATACATACTATTTATAATAGAAGTAGTATTCATGAATAAAACAAACACTAACAGTTAGCATGTAGTTTAAGCAAATGATGAGTTTGATGTATAAATGACTTTACTGCATCATTAAACTGTCAGCAAGTTTTTTTTCTTTGGAGTTTGAGATACATTTACTTCAGAATCAGAATCAGAGAATTTTATTGCCAGCGCTCCAGCGATCCAGAGCATAGGAACTTGACTCCACAGAACAGCCTGACCAAGGTTACACACACACACATGTAGACAGGACAGATACAGGCAGACCACGAGAGCAGCCATAACGGCGCTCATTTCAATAGATGAAGAGGGGATTACGTGGGGAGAGTTGGGGGAGGGAAAAAAGGCAAACCAGAGTTACTCCCGGCGGGGGTGGTGTACATATTTTTCTACGTTTTCTACGTTTTCTACGTTTTGGCCTGTCATCCACACGAAAACGGAGTTTTTTCACACGAAAACGGATCTTTTTAAAAACTCCGGCCAAAGTGAAGATCTGCGTTTTCTCCGTTTGGGTGTCTGCGTGTGGACAGACAAAACCGGAGTTTTAAGGTCCGCAACGTCACTTTCCGCGACAAAAAACTGCTGACATCACGTGTGCGACCTGTGTTTACACTAGCCGACAGCATGGATGCCCTCAGAGCTGCGCTCGCTTTATCAGTTGTCCAAGCGCTTTATGCTTGTTTGGTTTTGCAAGAGGGATTACTGCTCCTTGCGGAAGACCACAGACGAAGGACGAGGTTAAGAACGGGGGAAGTACTGCCGCCTACAGGTCTGGCATGTCCTTAACAACGTATTTATCCGGCTACGTGTGGACAGAGTTTGTTTTTTTAAACGCGGTGGTGTGGATGCAAGTTTTTGGAGGGGCGGATATTCGTTTTAAAAAAAAAACCCGGCTACGTGTGGACTAGGCCTGCGTGTCCCTCATGTGTCTCCTTGCGTGCTCCATTTCCCCCTAAGAATCCCCCTTATGTGTCTCTTTGTGTTCCTCATGAGTCCCCTGGTCTTCAGCCCTCCAGATATCTCTCCCAGGTCCTGTGCTCCTTTAGTCTTCCCCAGTCACCCCTCTGCAGTTTTTATAGTTTCAGCTTTTCACGTTATTAGTCTCTTTAGTGTGTTCTTTCCCACCGGTGTTTGTAGTTTTCCTTCCCCTTAGAATATTAGTTATGTGGTTGCTTATCTTGTCTTTAGGTTTTTTTTTACTCTTTACTCTTAGGTCATGCTAGTTTCCTCCATTATTAGTTAATTGCTTTCACCTGGTTCTCTCCTCACACACCTGCAGCTCATCTGCCTCCCAACATGCCCCAGTGTATATAAGCCCTGTCTTTGTCACAGTGTCTTGTCGGTCCATTGTTTGTGTCAGCGTTGTTTTGTGCTCCATGTGAGCTTTTGCGCCTTGTCTATAGGTTTTGTGCTCTAAGTGAGCTTTAGTCCTCGTTTCTTGGTTTGTGCTCTATGTTGAGCTTTCGTCCTCCTGGTATTCATGACTTTGGTTTTTTGGCTTCCTGCCATTTTGGATTTTTTGGTTCATCCCCTAATAAAGAGGATTTTACCTTTAAACCGCTCCTGCTTCGTGTCATCTGGGGTTTTCTGCATCTTGGGTCCTAACCTCCTCCTAACCTTCAACGTGACACCTGTAGGTGGCAGTAGCACCCAAAATCATCAGCATCTTTGCCGAAAAACATTCCTGGATGTGGAATAACCAGGTGCGGTGGGTGAAAACCATCTTTAATGTCATCCTTTACCTGCGGCGTCCTACATAAGAACACTTATTGAGCTTGTAACAAATAAATCAATGCGAACATCAAGCAAGTCTCAGCTTTTGTCGGACGCTTTCAAAAGAATAATTTTTGGTGCCGTTTGTCATCATTTCCATGTGGATGACGGGCCAAACCATAGAAATGATCTTTGTTTTGTGGGACACCTGGTTACGTGTGTACAGGGTCTTCCAAAGGGGTTCAAATGAAGGCCACTGCGCTGCTTTGGTTTCGTGTGTGTGTGTGTGTGTGTGTGTGTGTGTGTGTGTGTGTGTGTGTGTGTGTGTGTGTGTGTGTGTGTGTGTGTGTGTGTGTGTGTGTGTCTTCTCCATCCCCAGTGAGCCGTGGAGGATGGCTGCTTATACTGAGCCAGGATTCTCTGGAGGTTTCTTCCTGTTAAGAGGAAGTTTTCCTCTCCACTGTTGCTACATGCTTGCTTACTATGAGGATTGTTGTAAAGTCAATGACACTAGTCAGTCACTCGATACAGTTTGCTTTGATTCTGAAAATGTGCAGGGTTGTTCCTGATTACTTTACACCCAAGAAAAGTGATACAGAAAGGGAAATACAGAAAGGTGTTGCACTAAATCATGTTGCAACTGGATTTAGTGCACAGAAAAAAGTCCCTAAATTCAAAATCTAGAATTAATAAACACACTTGTGCAGTCATTAGCCATCAAGCACACAGCGATACTTGTTTAGATCGAACGTCTAATAAGGTATTATCAAGAATATGTTCAGTAAATGTTGGTTAAAGGTTATGACATTGAAACCTATCTGATGTAGTTTAAACATGATCAGAATGATATGGTGGATTATTTAAAGTTGTTTGGACGAATCTTCACAGCCAGGATTTACAGGAAGAAAATGTATGAACATCTCAAATGACCCCACTGATGAGTCGCTCTGGCATCCTAAGACCTGTTGGGTGAGACACTGCCAAAACGAATGATTTGTACTTTCATGTAAGAGATGAGGTCACTCGGCGTGCATCTGAGAAGAGCTGGCACACAACCTCAAGGCATCCTCCCCGCCGTTCATGATTCTTCAACTGGCTCACAACACAACTGCGTCTTGGCGTGAGATGAGTCAGAGGAAACGTACCACGCAACAAACATCCTAATTTAAAACTAATCTGCACAACCAGCCTACCCGCCGACAGCCGCTAACACAAGCAGCCTGGGGCTATGCTGGCTGAAATACTCAGCTGAGGTTGTTGGGGTACTTTCTATTTATTTACCTTCAATTTACTAACTGAATCTAAAT